GGAATAACATCGTGCAATAAAAATCAAACCCGCAAAATTATAATTTGCGTAATTACTGGTGGTAGGACCTCTTGTGAGTCCGCACGGGTAGGTACCACCGCCCCGCCTATTTCTGCCGTGAAGCAGTAATGCGTTTCGGTTTGAAGGGTGGGGGCAGCCGTTGTGACTATACTGAGACCTTAGAACTATATCTCAAGGTGTGTGGCGCATTTACGTTGTAGGTGTCTATGGGCTCCAGTAACCACTTAACAACAGGTGGGCTGTGAGCTCGTCCACACATCTAAGCAATAAAAAAAAAATAAAAAAAAAAGAAGAAAAACGCTCGGCTATAAAACACGAATTCATTGAATTTTTAATGAAAACGGCATCTTTTCGTAGCCACCACCATTTTTATCGCATTCAGTTCATTTTAATGGTTCCAGCTTGAACCATGTCGTCTCCGAGGAATCTACAAGGATGAAAACTATGTTGCATGTAGTTTTATGACTGCGGGCTTTTGACTTTAGTTTAAGGTAAAGTTTTAACAACTTAACACACAGAAACAGATATAGTTAAGAATACAAATGTGTGGGGTTTGGCGGTCAAAATCGATTATGGAGTAACAATATAGTATGCAGTAGTATTTATATATCAATTGAGTCCTGTTATTTTCATAAGTGATTCGGTTTTCTGAAACAGGTTAATAAATGTATATTAATTTATAGATTGTGAAATAAAGCCACCCTCTTAAAATTAAGTTAGTGCGCTTGAATAAATACCGCGAAATTCCTTTATTATAACAAATTTTACTTTCCATAAGTTAAATAGGTTAAATGTTACCTATTGTTTATAAGGGATGTTGTTGTTAATTTTCTTCTACATTTTAGGCAGTTTGGTATATCATGCTACACAACTTCACTCGGTTTCTTCTGAAAAGTCATTGAAGTATTTTAAATTGCCACCAAATGAAGGATGCATAAGACTACAGTAATAAAAACAATGCTCAGCTTAGACCGGAAATAATTATAAGCAGATTTCTGAAGATTATTGTTCAGGACTGATGAAACAAAATATCCTAAAATTATTGTTAGATAGACAGGTGTTTGGCAGAATGTTTCAATTCGCCGCTATGTTCAGCCACTCCTTCAAAGTGGAAAGAATGGATTTGAGATGATAACGACCCTTCAGCTCAGGTGTACTAGACCAAGCTGACTTTTTTTTCCTACCTATGCTGATAGCTTTGAGAGGCTATTTCAGCTTCATCCTAACGTGTGTAGGTGAGCTCACGGGACTCAAACCAGAATGTTGCCAACACTGACCCTAGCAAGAGCAGTGCTTCGCAGAATCTACCATCGGATCGGAAACGCGACCCACTGAGAAGATCCGGCGAGAAACTCAGTAGGCTGTGTCTATGGGTTAATTCGCTCGTCGAGGCCTTCGTCGCAAGCGACAGGTTCGACGAAGACAGTGACCGGAATCAAGCTGCCACTTGAATAAGATTTGTATTAAAGAGGCATGCCTCGTCCACGTCATCTTTGGTTTTGAGCTGGACCCTAAGGCTTATCTTTAATTCGAGGAATTCCTGAAAACATTACCGATCAGTTTTATAATTGTCGGGTGTCGCTGGGCATAGCCACTGAGCTAACCGTAAGCAAGCCGGTAAGTGCTCAAAGCTGCCGTCGACACTTGCCTTTATCAGAGTATTTTGAGGGCAGAAACATGCCGAAATAAAAAAAAAAAATTTTTTCCTCATTTAACGTTACTTTAATGTGTAAACCAATTTTGGCCATACCTTTGGGAGTTTCCTCTCTAAGCCATATTACATTTTCACATCACTGTGAAACTTTTACATAATTCTCTTAGAAAATTTTAATCACTTATAAGTATGATTGTTTTACTTTCTAAGCCATATTACATTCTCACATCACTGTGAAACTTTTACATAATTCTCTTAGAAAATTTTAATCATTTATAATTATGATTGTTTTACTCCCGAAACTAAGAGTTTACAGCCGAGCCTTTAAAAATATGAGAATCATGAATTCGTGTTCAGAACCCATCAGATAATCCAACGAAGCTCCCTTAGGCAACTTTAATATCCAGAAAATAAGAAATTTAATACTTGTTGCTTGGCTGGAAAGTTTCAAGCATCATGTTTCAATCTCGCTCCGTAAGATGAAAGATGAGGAAACCATTTAGAAAATGTCGTACTTATGAGCGAGTTTGTTCAGCGCACTGTATCTGTACTTTTATACAAGTTTAACAGTTGTCTGCGCATTGAACGTAATGCTTACAATAAACAACCAAAGCTGCAGTATTTAGGTGCTTTATAATGACCTCTGCTATTGGCGGTTGGAAACTATTAGTGCTGTTTCCATTTGCCATACAAAACAATGACCGTGTTCTCTTGTTGTACGGCTGGCGTAAATGGAAGTTTTTTTATTTTTTTTATTTCTTTGATGGGTCGTGCGAGCTCACAGCCCACCTGGTGTTAAGTGTTTACTGGAGTCCATAGACATCTACGACGTAAATGCGCCACCCACCTTGAGATATAAGTTCTAAGGTCTCCGTAGAGTTACGTAGGCTGCCCCACCCTTCAAACCGGAATGCATTACTGCTTCACGGTAGAAATAGGCAGGGTGGTGGTACCTACCCGTGCGGACTCACAAGAGGTTCTACCACCAGTAAAGTAAAAGACGTGTCCAAATATTGCACCAAAACCGAACCAATTAGATGTAGCGCACCGGACTTGTCGCTGCCTGGCGTCGTGGCGTCGATCCTTGGCGGCGACGAATCCTGGAAAGCTATGCTCGACTTCTGCGAGTGCACCATCTCGCAGAAGGAGGCGGCGGGGCGGGTGAGGCAAAGCTCTCCTCACTACGCCGAAATCCGCCGCCGCCGAGCAGGGGGTCGGAACCGGGGACCCATCCGTGACCCGGCCCCCTAAGAGCTTGGGGCTCCACCTGCTATAAGCGGGGAGAGACCCATCCGTGGGGCGGGGTGACTTATACCACACCGGTAATAGGAAGCCGGGTGATGGTAGACCGCGTTCCCCCGATCGCTCTAGGGGAACGTGCAGCGTGGCGCTATCAAGGTGGGCTATCGGCCCGTCGATCGTGGGGACCGGTGGCCGTGTCGCTGGCGGCCTGTCTGTGGGACGGCGGGATGGATGTAATATGCTCTGCGTAAACACTGTCCCACCGTTGTAGTAACTCCGACTGGGCTCAAGCCCGGCCCGGGGTCGGGCGCCGGTTGTGAGCGGTAGCAGTTTTTAGTAAGGTTCAACTCCTAACAACCTAACCTAACCTAACTCCTTCACTCGCTGCGCGGATGGGGATCCGGAAATTTTCTCCAGTAAAAAGATGCAACGCTATATTAATTATTAAAATTTTAGTCCCAGTTTGTTGTCGGTGGAAGGGAGGTGGGAATACCGTTATAAGTAGTGTAGTGATACTATTTGGCTTAGTAACAGATATAGAAAATTTTGAAATTTGAATTTTCTATGTTGTAAAGCTGAAAATTCTGAATAGAAAAAAAATGTCTCTCCTCAGTTCATTGTGGAGTTCATGTTCCTACTGCTAGTTCATATGATAACATAGTTCTGTTAATTCATTTGCAGGTCAATCGTTCGTTCTTATTTATATCCTCCTCCTCCTTGCGTCGTATTCCTCATTGCTGAGGGTCGTGACCACCCTTTTGTATCACCTTACCTTATTTATATAGTAGGTAGTTTTTTTTCAGTTGATATATTTTTTGTCTCCAGCTTTGATCTTTACGTTGTATTATTACATGTATTTGTGACTTTGAGCGATAATTGTAAATAGTTTGAAGCAGTATTTTTTCAGTCAGTTTTCATTAAACTGAAATCCTATTACGCTTAAAACTTTCCAATGAAGTTGCTCCAAAATATTTCTAAACCTTATATCGCATATCACAAATCTCCATTTAACCGAACGATATTGTGATCAAAGTGAGAACATTTACTATGAAGTAAAAATGAAGTATAAAATATACATATAAACATATAAATCCAATTTTGCCAAACTAAGTTTTATCTGTACTCGAAAAGTAAAGGCTCATTAAATATGATTTTTGTTAAATGTCACTTGCATCAACGAGACACAAAGAAACTCATTCCATGAACGACAACAAACAGAAATTGAATAGAATTTCTGAAACCGGATATAAGCCAGTCTTTTATAACAAATTTCCTGTCAGCGAAGCTCTTACAAACTTTAATAGTTTCGCTTTTAAAAGCGAGATGAAAAGGTTTTTAGTTTGCCTCGTCTATTTAGTACCGCGGGACAATAATTATGCAAGATTCATAAACTTTTTCAATTTGTACTACTGAAATTGCAGAATAATTAAAGTGGATACAATTTTGTTATCTAAATGGAAAAACAAATAATAGTTAGCTTAAAGTAGAAAGTTTATGTAGTGATTATAATAAAGGGATACAATAAAAGTAAAGAGCTTTGAAATTTTCATCGTATGAAATTTTATCAACGCTGGTTTTAGTGAAACTTAATATGAAGCAAATTGTTGATTTTTTGTGTCTTACAAACAATATACGGCCGCACAAAGTATTTATTCTAAGAGAGCTTAATGTAAGAAAAAGAGCAGTTGTCATCTGCATCTGAAGACTTTTAGAGTTTTTTGGTCTCGTAGCCTGAAATATCAGATATAGCCTCGAGAGGTTAATGATTGCAGGAAAAATATCAAGATGTTGGGGTCAAATCGGAGCGCCTAACCAAAGTTTTTGGAAGTGAAACTTCTTTAGAATCGTTGGGTGTGATTTCAAACTCGATGAAACGAAAAAATGAAACGTGAAGTTAAAATATAAATTCACAGAGGGCGCCACCTCACAATAGAAAAGATAACTTACAATTATTTCTATTTAGGTTCGAGCTCGAGAACCTCTATCAACTGTGTAATATTTCGTCATCGCGATTCAGGAATTGTTGAATTTACGTGCAGCGACATCTGTTGATAACAAAAGTGAAATTTTCTCTTGCTAAATCATACTTACCTGGCGTAGAGATACCATGATCATGCAGGCGGTTCCCCCAGGGTGAGGCTGCTCCATTGCACTGCGGAGTGGTTGGTGGTTGACCCCTGCGATTATTCTTATTTTTTATAAGTTTCACTTCTACCGTGTGTGACTTGCACACACACACTTTTTTTTTGTTACGTCCAAGACGGATACAGATGAAGGAGTATCATAACTTAAATTAATATCTCATTGGGGGAATCACGACCCTCGGTAATGAGGAAGACAATGCGAGGAGGAGGATAAACAATAGAAGCGTTACGAGCAAAGCGACGAGTCGTTGATATTTTATTACCGTCCGATGCAGCTAGTAGTAATGGATAACGAATCGTTATCTACTGAACTTTAACGAGTCGAGTATTATTTACAAATAAGGTTTTACAAATTGTATAGCTCGGTCTGTGCAAAAACACAATTCAACTGACGAAAAACAACTCAGATAGATAAAAGTGGTTGTCATCGGAGAAATTTCGTAATGAGAATTCGCGCTTTAAAAACTTTGGATAGTAACTGGGCTGGATGCCGACGTCAGTAATAATACGAAGAACCAGGGAAATGTAACATTTTTTTAAATTGTTTATTTAATTTATTTAGGTATCGCAACTGAAAGTTTATGTCCTAATAATAAATTTAAGACCGGTCTGTAGTCGATATTTTAGATTATTACTATAAATAAAGCAATTGAATTTTTTTTATTTTTTATTGCTTAGGTGGATGGACGAGCTCACAGCCCACCCGTTGTTAAGTGTTATATGTGCTCTATCACAATTTTATAACATTTCATATTTTAAAAATATCTAATAACAGATTTATTTCAAACTAGCTGACCCGGCAGACTTCGAAGTGCCTCAATCGATAGATAAAAGATCTAAACTTTTATATAAAATAAACTTAAAACAAACAAAAGAAATCCGTCCGACGGGGGAACCATCAAAGGAAACACAAAATTATTTGTTTTTATATAATATAATTCCGAGCATTTTCATATTTTTTCACCTTTTAAACCTTCTCTGGACTTCCACAAATAATTCAAGACCAAAATTAGCCAAATCGGTCCAGCCGTTCTCGAGTTTTAGCGAGACTAACGAACAGCAATTCATTTTTATATAATTATAAGTATATAGATATAGGTAGATAAACTAAAGTCATATCATTGAAATATTAAATGTATTCTATGGTCGCATCAACACGTTAACTTTAATTTCTCTTGGTGCCCTAGGGGACCGACTCTTGAGGCTTTACAACTCCAGCCTCGAGTCGGGACGGTTTCCTTCATCGTGGTGGACGGGCAGACTCGTGCTGTTGAAAAAGGAGGGGCGCCAGGCGGATACAGCCGCCGGGTACCGTCCTATTGTGTTGCTGAATGAGGTGGGAAAACTGCTGGAACGCATTCTGGCAGCCCGCACCATCCAGCATCTGATAGGGGTAGGATAGGAAAAAAAAAACGTATGGCACTCGGGAACTGCCGCGGTAAAGCTATTGCATAGCATTTTTATCAACTTATGCAATTGTAATTAGAGAATGATAATTTAATATTAAAACAATAATAAAACAAGACCACGTTATATTAAACGTTAATAAAAGCAAAACCTTAACTGTCCCCTTCACACTCATAAGCTAGACCGCGCGAGAGAGAGATGGGTAGACTTTTCATGATGCGCATGCAGTGCGACGTCACGCGCTTATTCACAAACACTATACAAGCGAAACGTGCGAATGTGTTGAACGCAAGCTATATGATAGGCGGAATGAGGGGTGTAAAGTCTTTTTCGTTACGGAATTTCATGATTACAGTAAGCCGCGCTCAAGGCCCGCGATAAAAGCTATGCAATAGCTTAATAATAATTTGATGTTCTGTAATTCACGCGAAGTAATCGGTAGATCATCCCCGATTACTCTCTTTAGACAACCCATACCCTGGGCCAGGAAGGTCAAGTACCTGGGTGTTACCCTGCATGCATCGATGACATTCCGCCCGCATATAAAATCAGTCCGTGACCGTGCCGCGTTTATTCTCGGTAGACTCTACACCATGATCTGTAAGCGGAGTAAAATGTCCCTTCGGAATAAGGTGACACTTTACAAAACTTGCATAAGGCCCGTCATGACTTACGCGAGTGTGGTGTTCGCTCACGCGGCCCGCACACACATAGACACCCTCCAATCTCTACAATCCCGCTTTTGCAGGTTAGCCGTCGGAGCTCCGTGGTTCGTGAGGAACGTTGACTTACACGACGACCTGGGCCTCGAATCTATCCAGAAATACATGAAGTCAGCGTCGGAACGGTACTTCGATAAGGCTATGCGTCATGATAATCGCCTTATCGTTGCCGCCGCTGACTACTCCCCGAATCCTGATCACGCAGGAGCCAGTCACCGTCGACGCCCTAGACACGTCCTTACGGATCCATCAGATCCAATAACCTTTGCATTAGACGCCTTCAGCTCTAACACTAGGAGCAGGCTTAGGGACCCCGGTAACCGTACTCGTCGAACTCGACAAAGAGTTTGCCGTGCAACCTAACTCATGAATCAGCTCGCTGAGTTTCTCGCCGGATCTTCTCAGCGGGTCGCGATTCCGATCCGGTAGTAGATTCATTCGCGAAGCAGCTGCTCTTGAGCTGTTAGGTCTCCTTAGGAGGCGCTCGGATAGCTGTTAGCAAATCCCACCCCTCCTGGCTGAGCCTTTGCTCGCCCACCTGTCCTGGTGAAACTGGAAAGGCCACCGGGCCACCAGTAATTCTTCAATCATAAAAAAAAAAAATCGGTAGATATTTATTTTATACATCGATGGACTCTTGAGTGGAACATTCATTTTATCTCTATCGCAGAAACCATGGCCATCTAGAAAATAATATGTAGAAGCTTGTGTAATACTATGCATATTTGTAATGTAGTAATTGAGATGATAATAGGGCAATAATATATACATATTTCTCTGTATTATTGCAATTCGAACATTGTACTTGTAGAAAGTGTGTGTAAAAACGATTACTGCTAAAAATACGGTTTAATTTGTTTGAAGTCTCAAATTTATTTAATATGTCTTGGTATGTTGATACGATGCGGTTTCTGTGAGCTTTATGATGAATAAATTACGTGGAAAGTATACATGATCGATTCTCGTTATTCAGTTGAATTGTCTTACAATTATGTTTGTTCAAATTGTGTTTTCTTTGAACACTTTATGCATTAAAATTTATGCATGATAAAAAGATCAGATATTTTAATAGTATACAAATTGATTTAATTTAATACATTTTTTAGATAATTTATTTCACAAATAAAATTATTGACTGTTCATTAACTATATTGCTTATCTTTTTTTTCGTACCTAAGCTGGCTGTCTTGAGAGGCTATACCAGCGTAACCGAGCGAGTAGGTGATCTTTCGGGGCTCTAACCTGGGGGCGTTGCTAACACTAGCAAGAGCAGTGCTTCGCAGAATCTACCACCGGATCGGAAACGCGACCCACTGAGAAGAACCGGTGAGAAACTCAGTGGGTTGTGTTTACGGGCTAATTCGTACGTCAAACGTTTCGTCGGAATCGACGAGATCGACGAGGACGGTGATCGATGCGTGAAGAGCCTAAAAGCACCGAGAGTGGATCCGGGGGATCCTGGATAGTGGTGGTCATAATAAGAGGGTTATCGTGTCGCGTTGCTTTTTCAAAGTAGCGTTCTGACACTTCTCTAAGATACGTATCGGTTCTAGATTTAAGCGCATAAAATCTGCCGATAGTAATAATACTGAATGACGACCGCCACCGCTCTGACAAGAATGATACGACAAAGGAGAAGGTCATATTTTATGTTTTAATAGTTTTTGGTAAACGTTATCGGCGTACAGAATAAATTTCGTTAATAGTATTGAGAAAGTATTAGCTTTGCCCCTGGAATTGCTGAAGTCCATGGGCGACGGTAACCACTCACCATCAGGTGGGCCGTATGCTCGTCTGCCTACAAGGGCAACAAAAAAAAAGATATAAAGTATATATAAAGCATAAACCACTCGAAATTCGAAGCTATAATCTCTCGAAATATCTCGATTTAAAAAAAAAGATTCGACGTATTTAGTTCGGTGGGTGCGTCGAAATGCAAATGAAAATTCACTGACGCCTCTCGTCCTGTTCCCAAACAACATTTGCGATACGTTCAAAACGTAATAGGCTTTTATGACAGGCACGGCCCCGGGCCGCTCTGTCGTGTACAGCGTGTTGTTGCTAAATTAATTCTCCAGTAAACTTGGTACTTTAAAATCACGGGTGAAACGAGATGAACGACAACTCGTAGAGGTGATCAAACATTTAATCGTTAATATAATTGAGTGGACGGTTGACTAACTATATCACGGGCGATTATCAAGCGACAGGTCGGATGTTTGAGATCTTTGATGAATTACTTTTTTTTTAAATAACTAATAAACAGATCATGCTACGTCATCCGGCCCCAAAAAGGATTCCCTGAGTTACGGGTTATAGGTACCAGAGACTGACATACATACATATATACTTATATATGACGGATTGACTAGTTCCATGGAATTTTTTAAATTATGACGTCAGCATTGTTGACGCCAGTCTCTTCATCGCTATCATTGCCTTCCGTAGTGACAGTAATTAAGACTCACTTTTCCAATGAATTCCATTAACTGAATTTCAAGTGTACAACGATAACAGCAGAGAGCTCCGCCTCGTTCGACTGCTCGAGCCGGAATGTTTTGTGCGTTTTTTTCCCTAACTATTGTATGCTGATAGCCTTGAGATGCTATTTCAGCGTAACCTTAACTAGTACGTGAGCTCACGGGGCTCAAACCTGACGACGTTGCTAACACGAACCCTAGCAAGAGCCGTGCTTCGCAGAATCTACCAACGGATCGGAAACGCGACCCACTGAGAAGATCCGACGAGAAACTCAATGGGCGTTTTGTGCAACAATAGTCATTCGTATTTATAGCAGAATAGTGAGGGTAGCTTAACTGAATTCTCTTGAAAACCGTCTTAAGCTATTGTTGAAATGCGTAACATTAAGGAAACAGTCAACTTCAACTATTTTTAGTTAAATAAATAGTGATGTTGCGCCGGCATATACGTTTAAATATAGATAATAAAACCCCAGACAAAGAGTAAACAAACCTGTT